TGAATTTTATCTTCCAAACAGTTTTCAAGGAATACATTATGTTTGTAAACCCAGGGATGGGGATATATAGAAATACTTTACAGAACTGTTCCCACTAGATAACAAATGTGCTGAGATCACCTTAATTACAGCTCTTTGCATTGACTCAGCAACATCGACATCTTCCGTCTTTCTGCGTTACCGACATACTACACTCTGGAAGTGAATAGTGGCTTTGGTGTTCAAAACTAACTTCCAGGCCACCTAGATTGCTCCTCGAGTCATCAAGACCACAGTCCTCCCAGCTGCTGCTAGAGGTCCTGCGGCCTTAATTAACATTAATTAAGAAAAGTACAGTGGAATGTATCACGCATATCCTACCCCAAAACCAACATAAAAATATTATTCCAGGAGAATGAACACAATTGATATCTATGCTATTAGAATAATCGCAGCGAGTATTTGTCATGGGACAGTACATCTGGGCTAATAAAAGCCTTTACCTGTAAAGGGGGATGAGCTGATGGCCAGGATCTCCCAGTCTGTGATCGTGTCCAGCAGAGCCTTAGAGATCATTAGTGAAGATCTAAAAAGAGGCAGAAAGTGAGAAAGAAAGAGTAACCTAGGTTTTTTCTCCATTACATCCCTGCAAAGCACCAGCCTTTGCCTCTTAAAGCCCGAGGTGCAAAGTCATTCATATGGGCTGAAGACACAACTGCTGTGATGCCCAGGAAAAGAGCAACACCAACATGCTCTTTCACAACCTGCCCACCCCTTCTATAAACCCTCAGTGTACCCCGTGGCATCTCCTCTGGGTGGCAGAATGAAATCTTCAAACAGCCAGCTCTCAGGAAAGTTGGTTCGAACGCGGATTTCATCATCAGGTAAGAGGTCTTCTTCACCTGCCACAAAATACAGATAAGAAACCCGTTGTTTCTTTTCAATCAGAATTTGGATTGTCCAGAAATTTCTAATACAGTCCCCAGAGGGTTAGTGACATCAGAAGGAATGCTATATTTTCTCTGTAGCAATGAGCCGATGAACTTACTGCGAGACAGCACCAGGCTGGAAGAGAGTTGCTTCTTCTTGTTGGCGATCTCGGTGCAGCAGCGCAAGAACACTTTGGCGCACTCCGGTCCTTCCGTGATGAACCGCGATCTCCGCTCACAGGAGTAATCCATGGGGATGTCCTTCATCCCATCCCGGCAGCAGATCTTGAGCTGCT